ATCTTTAGGTTATCCGCATACTTGCCAAATTAGGTAGGCTAATTAAAGTAAAATGCATTCAGTTTTTTTTTTTATTGTTTGTGCTCATGTGTCACATCATGTTGTACATGAGAGCTTGCTTTCAGGTTTATTTCGCTGTGCTCCATTTTACGGTTTTTGAACGTCCTGTGTGAACACCTAATCCGAATTCAAATTTGACAACTATGTTGCCGTTTAAGATCCAAACTGAAGCTTGCATAAGTATTTTTTCTAAGTTACGTAAAATATATCGAGGCAAAATATGAAAATGCTTCGTTTCCATTACAAATCTTTGCATTTGATTGTGTTATTGCCTGTATGTGGCAAACAGCAGAAGATACACCATCAATTGCTCTGCATAGATTCAAATGACAAACGCGAGCTCCATGAGTGTGCTTCTCATGAGCAGCTCATAGCATGGTTAATAATGCATGTGCAGTCAAATGATCTTAATTTAGCTGCTGTGCATGGATCTTCAAAAGGCAAACAAAATCAACTTTATTTTTTTTTGCAATTTTATTGAAAAAGGGCTTGTCCCAAAATATCATACGACAATATTTTATTTATATCAAAATATAAATAAAATACTGTAGTATGCCAATCACACACACATATGTACATATTGTGAGTCACAAAATCCAGAATGGAAAAGGAAAGTGGGCTTTTAGCTATAGTTTGAGAAACTATTCTTTCTCTCATAGTGTTTTTGCCCCATAAATTTTCATTGTATTGCACTGGTCTCTGTATTTGTCCTATAGAGATAATTGTACGACAGATAAGCATGATGTATTGCCTCCTACGGAAATCACATCTGGCCCTCATCCTGTTCTTTTCAAAGAAAAAAAAAGTCTAAGATAAACTGGCCCGTTTTTACATTACTGAAACAATGCACGAACAATTAGGCGACCCTGCATGCTTTCAACAATTTAATTACATCTTCAAAAAAGTATTAAGTGCGATCTTGATCCTCCTGTCCCAGTGTTTTAACACCCGAGTCTGTGGATGTGTAGAAATGCAAAAGAGAAGAAAAAAACACCCCACGGTATTCAGACGCGTAGTGCGTAAAATGTAGATATGGATAGTGTGAATGATACTCACAGATTGAGGAACAGTCCCAGCAGATCTACTGACGCAATAAAAAGCGAGGGCTTCTAAGTCACCTCTAAATCAGCGCACAAAGACTTTCATCGCGCGCTCAGGTAGATCGCAGATCCGCGCAGTCCACAAACCCACATTAGGCCTACGAATATGGAAAGCTGAGAAAAGTGAGCACCCAGGTCACATTAAAACGGAGCATTTCGTCGTTCCCAACAGCCGGGGTTGTCCCGCTCCATGCAACACTCGGTTTCGGGCAGAGCGCAATGAATGCGCGTTTAAATCAACGCCACGCGCCTCCTCGTCGCCGCGATGGCCCGACCCGTTTACCTCTGAGCGCCCGTTTGCGGGACCGGGACGGGACTTGCCGCACACTCAGTCGTTTTCAAAAAACTTGAGTGCAATTCCACTCGTTTCGTACTACTGCGGGAAGTGAAGCTCGATCCAGGAGCAGAAAGACGGCTTGCGCGTCGAGCCGGCTGCGTGTCTCACTGCAGAGGCGCGCTGGAAAACCCGCGCTGGGGTTCAACGCGGAGCGGAGCGGCACCTGGCCTACAAAGTCAAACCCATTCAAGGGGCCATAAACCTCATGGAAGCCTCTCTTCTCAACAACTGTTCAAACACTGCCAAAAGTTTGCCTTGGGACGGTGATCTAAAAGCGTACTTCCTCCAAAGCACTGCTCTGTGTACTGAGCCATATCCAGATGCTTTATATACAGTGCTGCTCAGATTAGGTTACAAATTGTAATCCGTTACTGATTACTAATTGTAGTTTGTAACGTGATCTATTGGATTACACATTAGGTGATGTATTCTGACTACTTTTTTATTTTATTCTTTTATTTATATTTATTTAGTTAGCTAGTTATTTATTATTATTATTATTATTTTTTTTTTTTTTGATTGATCAAACTCGCAAGAAAATCTATTCCATTCCCAAACTGGGGTTTGTAATCATGTAATCTAATAAAAAGTAACTGTAATTTGATTATTAGTATTAGTATAATTACAAGTACATACTTTTTGGAATCTGATTACATAATCCAGATTACATGTGATTATATGTAATCAGTTACAAATATATATATATAAGTTTTCATTTTAATTTTAGTTAAAGTTTTAGTAATTTTGTTGTATGTTTTTGTCAGTTTTTGTTTTTGTCTGTGTAATTTCATTTCATTTTAATTATTTTAATGCATTGAGTTAAACTAAATTAAAATGAGAACTGTTTACTAAAATACAATTATTTTATACTTTAGTTTATTTCAGTTAATGTTTATTTTACTTCAAGCAATAAAAATGTTTTTTATGGTTTTAATTTTAGTTTTATTTAACTCTAATAACCCTGATTACAGTATTACCTTTTTGAATATCTTAACATTACAGACAATTATTACAAACACATTTCAACTGTGTAATCACTTTACAATTATTTTACCATTGTAAAACGAACTGTAGCAACAGTAATTGAAACTTTTTTTTACTTTAGTTTATTTTCAATACAGCTACTGCAGTCCTAGTTAGTTACAGTTTGCGGACCGTTTTTCATAACAAAAAACCCATGTTGTCACCTAAAGGCTCAAGCATTAGCATCCAAATGGACTGGTTTTAATTCAAAGTCAAAGTATTATTTATATGACTACAACTTAGATTATGAGCTCTTTAAATAAACACTTTTTTAAAGTGTAATGAAGTGACATGCATGGTTTTGCATTGTTTCTGTAGTAACTATTAGTTGGATTATGGTTGATAAGCACAAACTATTTGGCCAATCCGGTTATACTGTCACACACTGATCCCACTGTCCCTTCGATTCAAGCAGGAAAATGAGCAGCATGACTTCTCTTAGATTAAGGAGGAAATTCAGGACAAATCCTTGTGGCTGAGGAATGAGGTTTGGAGAAGAGTGGGATCAGCGGGAAGTGCAGAGATGAATGAATCAGTCTCAGTGGAAACTTGAGCCGCATGCAGTCATCTCAACACTTCACCCAACAAAAAAATGTTTGTCCAGCCATTTGTTCCCAGTGGTGTGAGTAGTATCTCCCCTGAGTAATACCTCTGGGGCCCCGGCCCGCCGCAGGATAGTCAGAAACAAATGACATGTGCTGCAACTATAGCTGGCTTTTGAAACATATCAGTTTTGTCATTGCGATTCCTGTTCAGACAAGAATTTCTTGGGGAAAAAAGCAAGAACAGTTTTAATTTTAAGAAATGAAACCCAATCTCAGCTGCAAAGAGAGCATGAGAATTCGTTTCAACGCACCATCTTCATTTCCTCACCAGCATACTGTATATCTGAAGGAACAACAGATTTTCTCATTTTGCTATACTGTGCTTACATAAATAAAGTTACGCACTGCTTCAGAAAAAATATTAATTTCCATCTTCTTTTTTTTTCATCGCAAGACTATAGGCAGGTCAGTAGGGTCTCTTACATGTGGCGTCAATATTAATAATATTTTAAAAAAGGAAAGGAGGCACACAAGGGAAGCAATGAATTTGGGTCAGATTCACGAGATGCAAAGCAAGTGGATTAGAGCTGGGCTCTCACATATTAATAGGCATAAAGAATAGCAGAATAAGTGAAAACAGGTGAAACATTGCAATTTGAGCAACAACAAAAAAAATAGATGTGTGTGTGTGTGTGTGTGTGTGTGTGTGTCTTTAAGCAGTAGATTAAACAATAAGAAAGAAATGCAAAGAGAGGCTGACATTCATTCTACATAGTTTTCTTGTGTAATGTGCAATGCAAACTCTTATATGAATTGTCTATTCATTATATATATATATATATATATATACACACACACACACACACACACACACACACACATTTTGTATCCACTGTAATGTAATCCACAGTTGCACAATTAGAACATTTGAAAAAACTAAATTTGATATACTCTGGTAATAGTATAAAATGCAAAATACTCTATAAGCAAATGAATTAGCAACAGAATGTGAAATGCATGTACTTTTTCAGGATTTTTTTTTTTCCAAACAAATGAATATACAATTATATATATATATATATTTTTTTTTTTTTCTCTCTCTCTTCATATATTAAAATATATGTCAAAATATACAAAAAATGGTCAAAATATGTTTTGCTAAAATGTTTCAAAATAATTTTATGTAAATATATTTTCTGCCATATATTTTCTATATTTGTGTATTTCTAAAAATATATTTAAAAAATATAAATATATATATCTTTTAAAGTATTTAAAAATATATTTTTCCCTCCACATATTTGACATATTTCAATCCAAGAAAATACATTCACATATATCACACTTGAGCACATGTTTGTCTTGCACATGTGAACATATAGATCATTTGAAATCAGCAAGGAACATATACTTTACAATTTCCCAATATAAATCGCAATATATATATAAAAAAATAAACATTATTAAATCATTATAAAATCTAGTTTTGATCTCTAGTGGGCTATTCCATCCACATTTGCATTTAGCCTAAATGTAGGATGGATAGCCTAAATGTATGAAGGATGAAACGAAATATATTTTCAAATAAAAAAATATATATATTTCATTGAGCTGTTTTTAACATATATTTAGCATATATTTATTAAAATATATCCCTGCAATTGGGTTCACATTCATCTGTGTATGCATTGACAATTAAACATTTCATGACACAGTTTTCAAATGGTAAAACGTAAGAAACACTTAAAAAATGATTTAAAATAATAATAATTAAGACGTGTGCATATGTATTCAAGGTTTAAGGTAAAAGTATTTAATTTTTCTTAATTGTATGTGATAACCAAACAAACAAATAAAACCGATTTTTTTTCTTTCTCCCATAAACTTATAAATCCAACATTTGTTAAGAAAGAAAAAAAATTGCACTTTTAAGAAGGTGTCGCAATCATATAAAAAATTATTATTATTTTTTTTTTTTATAATTTTGAAAAACATCTTATCTGTCACTATAAACAACCGGTTAAATAAAATAAATTCACTGATACTACATTGAAACTGGTTGCAGTTTTTATGTGTATATGCATTTCAGTTCAGCTAAAGAAGAATTCCAGCAGGCAAATATCTGTTTTCCATTCACATGCACAGGCTTCAATGTTCTCATCAGCCTCGTCTCTGTACTCTCTCCATTCGTACATGTGTTTCCCTTTTAGACATATTGTTCTCTATGTTGGGAAAACCTCAAAAAGAACGGAGAACTTTTCAGAAAGTGTCACACCGCTAATAAGAGAGCGCTGGAGAAGAACTACGGCAAAATATATCTGTGGTAAATGAGTCACTCGTTAGTTGGGGTAAAAAAGATGCACGGTTATGCAGATGACTCTCCATCAAGACTTTTTTTTTTTTTTTTGTGAAACACATTTCAGTGCCTTTTAGTGGGAGACAAAGCACATGGCATGCACTCCACCCACAAACTAGCTTTCATAACCCACTTCTAAATGAATCACATTCTTTGCTGCTGAAGTCATCTCTGCTCATAGGTCTATGAGAGGCTGAAAACAGTGATGCAGCGTTCAACACTAATGAAACCAGACAGCGATTCATCTTTTCTGAATCGCTACTTATAAAAAAAATTTTTTTTTTTTTTTTTTTTTATAATTTTGAAAAACATCTTATCTGTCACTATAAACAACCGGTTAAATAAAATAAATTCACTGATACTACATTGAAACTGGTTGCAGTTTTTATGTGTATATGCATTTCAGTTCAGCTAAAGAAGAATTCCAGCAGGCAAATATCTGTTTTCCATTCACATGCACAGGCTTCAATGTTCTCATCAGCCTCGTCTCTGTACTCTCTCCATTCGTACATGTGTTTCCCTTTTAGACATATTGTTCTCTATGTTGGGAAAACCTCAAAAAGAACGGAGAACTTTTCAGAAAGTGTCACACCGCTAATAAGAGAGCGCTGGAGAAGAACTACGGCAAAATATATCTGTGGTAAATGAGTCACTCGTTAGTTGGGGTAAAAAAGATGCACGGTTATGCAGATGACTCTCCATCAAGACTTTTTTTTTTTTTTTTGTGAAACACATTTCAGTGCCTTTTAGTGGGAGACAAAGCACATGGCATGCACTCCACCCACAAACTAGCTTTCATAACCCACTTCTAAATGAATCACATTCTTTGCTGCTGAAGTCATCTCTGCTCATAGGTCTATGAGAGGCTGAAAACAGTGATGCAGCGTTCAACACTAATGAAACCAGACAGCGATTCATCTTTTCTGAATCGCTACTAGTGTCCACAACACCGTGTACATAGATATATTTGTGCTGATATTTTCACTTGAAAAGGGTATTCGATACATCAAGACTTAAACAGATTACAGCTCTAATGAAAATGATGGTCCACTGAAAGTGCACAGGCACTGCATTTTTTTTACATTATTTATGCTGAATATGAGTCATTCTGCAATTTAGGGTATGATTATAATACTATATTTTATCCATTAAGAGAAAGCATATTATAATCTCACACAAATATTTTGTTTGCCCCATGTTTCAATTTGTTTGAAATTGTATTGATTTTCCTTAAAGGGGCTATATGTAAATATTTTCATGTATTAATTGCTTTTTTATTGCCAATGTGTGAACAGCTTGTAATCAAACTTCTAAAAAAAAAAAACAAGACTTCCCCATCTTCTTAAGTTGTCAATGAAAGT